GGATCACCTGGAACTGACACTCCAGATGTTTGTGAGCCACCATGTGGGTTCTGGGAACCCAAGCTCTCAGCAAGAGCAAGAAGTTCTCTTACCTAACCACTGAGCTACCTGTTCAGCCCCCACATAGATCCCTTAACATAAAAAGATTCATAAAACCTTCCCTTTAAGCTAAGAGCCTCCCATTCTTTCTTGTTATTTGCTTTCTTTCTTTTTTTTTATCTTTCTGGAGACTCAGTACTTTGCAAGCTTTAATAAGTTTCACTCTGAAACTTATCATTTTACTCTGAAACTTAAAATATTTTGTTTTTAGCCGGGCGGTGGTGGCGCACGCCTTTAATCCCAGCACTCGGGAGGCAGAGCCAGGCGGATCTCTGTGAGTTCGAGGCCAGCCTGGGCTACCAAGTGAGTTCCAGGAAAAGGCACAAAGCTGCACAGAGAAACCCTGTCTCGAAAAACCAAAAAAAAAAAAAAAAAATTTTGTTCTTTATTTATGTTTGTATTTGTGTTTGTACATGTATGTGTGAGCATGTGAATGCCACAGCTTACATGTAATGGTCAGAGGACAACTCACGGAAGTGGCCTCTCTCCTTCCACCATGCGGGTAACCCAGAGATTCAATTCAGATCATCAAGTGTGGTGGTGAGCACCTTCACCAGCCCTGAAGCGTATTTTAAAGCCGTTGGTTTTCTTACATGTGAGAGCATTTTACTGGGCTGGTCCTGAATAAGGGAGTCCTAATACCAAGAGGATCTTCCAGTAGCAAAGGAGTGCTCCTCTGCTCATCCTCCTTACAAACACCAGGGAGCCTTTAAAAGAGATGGCCTGGCTGACCCAGAGGGTGGTGTTTATAAATAGTACCCAGCACCCCCTCCTTTAAAGCCTGTCTCCCTAATCCTCTCTCTAGATTGGAGGTGACTTGACCTTTGAGCCTTAAAACTCAGGTCATTTTTTTTTCTCTCAAAATTCTGCATAACAAAATGCTGTTGAAGCAAAAAAAAAATTTTATAATTTTATGTATATGGGTGTTTTGCCTACATGTATGTCTGCGTGCCACTTGTATGCAGGACTCACTGAAGTCAGAAGAGGGCACTGGATCCCTGGAACTGGAGTTAGAGACAGTTTTGAGCTGCCATGTGGACGCTGGAAATTAAACCTGAGACTTCCGGAAGAGCAACCGGTGCCCTTAACTGCTGAGCCATCTCTCCAGCCCCAAAGCAAAAATGTTTTCAACCAGATGGTCAGTCATCAGATCTTGTCTTTTACTTTTGGAAGCCAGCGTTTGGGGAATTTTTATTTGGTTGGTTTTTATTTTAGCTTATTTTGTTTTTGTTTTTGAGACAAGGCCTCACACTCAATTCTGCTTCAGCCTTCTGCACACTAAGATTTCAGGCCTGGGAATCAGTTGTTTGCTTGTTGGGGTAGTTCTGTCCCTGTCTCTGTCTGTCTATCTGTCTATCTCTCTCTGTGTCTCTGTGTGTGTGTCCGTGTCCCTGAGATTCTGAGAAGAAGCCCTGGGAACCCAGCACATTGAGAAACTAGCCCACCAGAGGCCCGGCCTTTCTTTTTACTCCTAAAGCCACAGAACTTTAAGGAGCCTTAGTTACTTCCACTCTACCACCTTTGGATAGGACTCTTTTTTTTTTTCAATTGGTTTTTTGAGACAGGTTTTCCCTGTGAAACAGTCCTGGTTATCCTGGATCTCACTCTGTAGACCAGGCTGGTCTCAAACTCACAGAGATCCACCTGCCTCTGCCTCTCAAGTGCTAGGATTAAAGGCGTACACCGCCGCCGCCACCACCCCCCAACTTGGATAGGACTCTCTTGTATTTCTCTGGTTTCTTATTGTTTATAGTAGATTCAATATAATAAGTTCCTATGACTGTGGAATGAAACACTTGATCTAGACATGGGCAGTTTTCAGATTAGGGTACATGAAAGAAATGTTGAGCTAACCAAGAAAAACGTTTTATGTGTTTGAGTGTTTGCCTGCATGTGTGTGTGGGTGTGTGTGTGTGTGGGTGTGTGTGTGTGTGTGTGTGCACAATGTGTGTGCAGTGCCTGTGGAGGCCAGAAGAGGGTGCCAGATGCCCTGGAACTGGAGTTACAGGCAGTTGTGAGCCACCTATAACTCCTGTTTTAGGAGAGCCAGTGTCTTCTGGCCTATCTGGGCACCTGCACTTGTATGTACAAGCCCACAGAGAAGCCCACACACAAATACCTAATCACAAGTAAGGTGTGGGAGAATTAACAGCCATTAAGAGCACAGGTTTCCTCTGGCCAGAGGACCTGAGTTCAGTTCCCAGCATCCATGTCAGGCAGATCATTGTCACCTTTAACTCTAACCCCAGTGGAGATACCCTTGGCCTGCATGGATACCTACAGACAGACACACAAACATACACATAGTTTTATTTGTTAACATTATATATAATGACATCATGTCTCCCTTCCCTTTCCTCCAAACCTTCCCGTGTTCCTCCCTACTTGCTCTCTTTCAAATTCATGGCCTCTTTTTCTTTTCTTTTCTTTTTTCTTTCTTTTTTTTTTTTTTTTTTTTTTTTTTACCGAGGCAGAGTTTCTCTGTGTAGCCCTGACTGTCCTGGAACTTGCTCTGTAGACCAGACTGGCCTCATACTTAGAGATCCACCTGCCTCTGCCTCCCAAGTGCTGGGATTAAAGGTGTGCATCACCACCACCACCACCACCACCACCACCTAGTGCTTTTTTTTCCCTTAATCTTATTGATACAGATATAGATATGCTTTTTTTTTTAGAATATTTTTTTAAACTTTATTTTATGTGCATTGGTGTGAGGGTGTCAGATCCCCTGGAACTGGAATTACAGACAGTTGTGAGCTGCCATGTGGGTGCTGGGAATTGAACCCAGGTCCTCTGGAAGAGCAGCCAGTGCTCTTAACAGCTGGACCATCTCTCCAGCCCCCTAGATATGCATTTTAAATAGTAGAAATAAATCTTTTGCATCCCAAAGTTTTCTTGCTGACCTGTGCCAGGGGTATATTCTCGTCAGATGCAGCTTGAGCTGAGACTGTTTCTTTAAGGCTTTTCTGACTGTAGTTTTTTGCTAAGAATGTCTTTCCTGCCTGTGAGTCAAGAATTACAGACATAATTGCCATTTGTGTTTGGGTGTGTTTTTTAGTTTCCAGACAGTCTGATGTGCATGTTCCTGTAGTGAGTACATAGAACATGACTGTGACCTTTGCAGAGCATCTTCTGAAGATGTGGGGCTTCAGGTGTCTAGGCCGAATCTGAGCGCAGAATGGGTTGACAGGGCAGCAGTTTGAGTTGTTCCCCCTCTTAGAATGGAGAAGCTTTCTTGTGTATACAGGGATAAGAGGCAGATTTTTAATACTTAAAATTGTAAGTTATGACTTAAGTAGAAATATATACACCGAAGTTGCATTTAAATTCAGCTTTCTTCAATTTTTCTTCCAACTTTTGCATTAGCTTTCTTGACTCTGGCACCAAAATTTGTTTTTCTAGTGGTCTGTTGTTGTTCTCTGGATGTGTTATTACTATATCACTTAACTTATCAAACACAGAACATAGAAAACATATTTAAGTTAGAAGCCATTTTTTGATTAAGATTATTAGTTGACTAGTCTATAAATTGTAGCAGCCATGAACCACAGAAAATCACATAAAGTATATAAAATCTGTTATATATAACAGTTGGCATTTGGATTATATCATATCTTTCTCATTTTTAAAGATTGTAAGATTGTTTAGAGCTGAGCATTGGTGGCGCACGCCTTTAATCCCACACTTGGGAGGCAGAGGCAGGTGGATCTCTGTGAGTTTGAGGCCAGCCTGGTCTACAAAGTGAGTTCCAGAACAGCCAGGGCTACACAGAGAAATCCTGTCTAGGGGTTGGGTAGGGGAGCAAACAAAAGTTTTTTTTAAATGGCAAACACTCTCTTTTTTTTTTTTAAATATGCATTGGTGTTTTACCATGGGAAGTTTCTGATCCCCAGAAATGAGTTACAAATAGTTGTGAGCTGCCATATGGTTGGATGCTGGGAGTTGAGCCCAGGGCCTCTTAAGAGCAGTCAGTGCTCTTCACCTCTGAGCCTTTCTCCAGTGCTATCTTTTTATTAGTTTTTATGTTCTTTTTAATCTTCATCTGTAGTCCCTTTTCTCTCTTAGTTGTTTTGGTTTGTCTTTCATAGTAAATGTCTTCTTGATTTTTGATGGTTCTTGGCTGACGTGTGTGTGTGTGTGTGTGTGTGTGTGTGTGTGTGTGTGTGTGTGTGTGTGTATGTGTGTGTTCATATGCCACAATACTTTTGTGGAGGTCAGAGAGGTCAGAGGACAGACTTGGGGAATCTGTTCTGCGCTTTGACCTTGACATCCAGCGATCACCCTCAGGCGGTCAGGGTCCTGCAGCAAGCACTTGGGCCTGTGGGATCAATCCAGTCCCTGGCTGTCCGCTCATATTTAAAAGCAGGACACTGAAGGTTATTTGAGAGTCCATGCTAGTGAGTGAGGCTTATGGCTGTGACCTTCATTATAGTTTGTATGGCTCAGTTCTTTGGCAGGACCCCTGTCATCTGACCTCTTACGTCGTTTACTATTTGGCTGATAAGATTCCTTTGACACGTTTCAATTTCTTTTTCACTATTCGTTTTTCTGGTCCTTGCTTACAATTTCTCGTTGCTATCTTTGAGTTCTTTTTTTCCTCCCAGTACTGGGGATTGAACTAGGGCCTTGAAAACGCTAAGCAAGCTCTCCACCACTGAGCTACATTGAAGCCCTTTGCTCTGAATCCTTATGTGAGATGATATAGATAAAAATCTCTCTGGCGGTCTCTGTCTCTTCCTTTAGGTACCTTTTGGACTTTCCTGCATGCACTTACCTGCTTTCGTGGGAAGTTTGGCAGACTTGCTGTAAAATAAACAGAGTTGACAGGAGCAAAGTGAGGCCCTCCACTGCACAGTCAGTCCCTCTTGGAACCTTCCTTTTCCTTAATCATACTTGATCAGAAATTGGATGAACCTTCGGGACGCTGAAACAGGGAAGATACTCTGGCAAGGAACAGAAGACCTGTCTGTCCCTGGTGTGGAGCATGAAGGTACTTTGCAGCCCCTTGAATGCACAAGCTGTGCCCAGGGCCAGAACAGACCCTGGCATCAGGGAGCTAAGTAAACAGCCAGTAGACAGGTGAGCCCTCCCGGCAAACAGAAGAACACTTCTTGTTCCGCTTTTACATTTCTTTCTCTCACTTCCCCAAATCCACTTTAGCTTTGGACCATACCCAGATCTGGATGTGGTGCCTCCTATCTGTAATTCCAGCACTTTGCAGAGTGAGATGGGAAGATGAAGAGTTCAAGGCTAGCCTCAGCTATATAGTTAATTCAAAGCCAACCTTGAACCACATGAGACCCTGTCTCAAAAAAGAAAAGAAAAGCTATAAGCTAAGATTTAAACTTTTTCCAAAAGAAAGTTTTCATTTTTATCTCTCTGGAGGAAAAAAGAAAAGGTAAAGCATTTCAAGGAATCAGAATATAGAGAAGGCACCTACACAGCCTGCATAGAGAGAGGATGTTAACAGCCTGAGCCTGCCAAGACCAGCTAGGTGAAGCCTGTAGAGACACCAGGTCTCGTGTTCCTTGGCAACATGTCACGTGTTGACCCAGTAGATCTCTGCCTCCTTCAGCTGGAATGTAATGCAGTTACCAAGGCATTTAATGACATTTCATAAACATAGCACATTCTCTAAGGCAGCCAAAGGAACTCCCGGGAACCTAGAGCATCATAGTCCTGTGGCTCTCATTTAGAAGGGTACCAATATCTCTCTCTCTCTCATCAGCCCGTGTGCCCAAGAAAATCCTCAAGTGCAAGGCAGTGTCTCGAGAATTGAACTTTTCTTCTGCAGAGCAAATGGAAAAATTCCGCCTGGAACAAAAAGTTTACTTCAAAGGGCAATGCCTAGAAGGTATTCTGCTACGTGTGTACCTGGAACCAGAGTGTGGAAGAGTAGGGGCTGAGGCAAAGCAGTGCTTTGAGAATACCAACTGGATAACTAATAGAATTTCTACATTCCGCAACACTGGGGACCCAGTGACAACAAAATAAGGCTGGGCACAAAAGGGACTTGGAGCTCCCTGGGACTGGAAGCTGGGGTGCCTGTGCCTATCCTGTACCTGATGTGGTATTACAGTGTGGTCTTGAAAGAAGCAGCTATGATGAAGTATAGTTTAAGGCTGTACCTACACATCATAAGCTGTAACTAGTAGGGACTTCCTGCATTCAGTTCTCAAATTGTAAGAGAAATGTGGGCACCATGAAGCTAAAACCCCAAAGGCCTTTCGACCTCTATTTTAGTGTCCATCTCGCTACTCCTGAGAAAGTACTGCTTAGGCGGGCAGTGCTGACACACGCCTTTAATCCCAGCACTCAGGAGGCAGAGGCAGGTGGGTCTCTGAGTTTGAGACTAGCCTGGTCTACAGGACTAGTTCCAGAATAGCCGAGGCTACACAGAAACCCTGTCTTGAGAAAAAAAAAAAGAAGAAGAAGAGGTCTGTGGCATGAATCAGAAGAGAGTGTGTAAGGTCTCTGTGTCCTTTAGTAGGCCTCTGGTTTTGGAGGTATCTGATGGGTTCCTTTCATGGTTCTGGATAGGAAGAGCCCACTCTAAAGGAGAGGGACCAATAGCCTATGGTTCCCCATGCCCACAAATAGCACCTGCTCACTGGCTTTTCCTTCTTCCTTCAGAGTGGTTCTTCGAGTTTGGCTTTGTGATCCCTAACTCCACAAATACCTGGCAGTCCTTGATAGAAGCAGCACCTGAGTCCCAGATGATGCCCGCCAGCGTCCTAACGTGAGTGAGGTCTCAGGGAATTTCAACATGTGTCTCAAAACAGGCTTTCAGGCAGGTGGGACTCCTGGTCCTGTTCTCAGGCAGAGAACTAGAGAGAATAAGAGCAGAATTCCCAGGGGTGTGTCAAGGTTACCGAGTTTTGTCCTATGAAAAATAACAGGTTCGAAACCTTTAAACCACATTTTAAATTTCCCATTCACTCTGAAGACTTGTCTTTGGGTGATAATATGTTTGTTTGTTTGTTTGTCTTGTTTTTTTGAGACAGGATCTCTCTGTTGTAGCCCTGGCTGCCCTGAAATTCAACTCGTAGACCAGGCTGGCCTAGAACTCACAGAATTCTACCTATCTCTGCCTCCCCAGTTCTGGGATTAAGGGCATGTGCCACCACACCCAGTCTTAAAATAACTATTGTTAAAAATAAATCCCAGCACTTGGGAGGCAGAGCCAGGCGGATCTCTGTGAGTTCGAGGCCAGCCTGGTCTCCAAAGCGAGTTCCAGGAAAGGCGCAAAGCTACACAGAGAAACCCTGTCTCGAAAAACCAAAAAAAAATAAATAAATAAATAAAATAAAATATAGTGGCTAAAGAGATGGCTCAGAGGTTAAGAGCACTGGCTGCTCTTCCAGAGGTCCTGAGTTCAATTCCCAGCACCCACATGGTGGCTCTTAACCATCTGTAATGAGATCTCATACCCTCTTCTGGCATGTAGGCATACATGCAGGCAGAATGTTGTATACATAATTAATAAATAAATAAATAAATAAAACCCTCAGGTGATTTGATATGGCAGTAATACTCCATTTTATAAATGGGAGCACTGCCATTTATGGCCCAGTAGGAATGTTCTTTCCTGGCATGCACGAGGTTCTAGGATCCCTCTCTGGCACAGACAGGAAAGGAAAATGCAAGCAGAATGGGCCACTGAAATAACCATCTAGCCCCATCCTCATAGTCCAGGTGCCTCGTTTAAGGTTCTTTGGTTGGAAACCACAGAGACAAACCCTGACTTGAGTTAGACCAAGCAGAGACCTCGAAGCTTGGAAGAGATGTCTGTGATGTCTTCCTAAGGAGTAGCTGAGGGAGGGTGCTACTCAGGAAAGAATCTGATTGGCATGAATAGAATGCTGTGACACCCCTATGCAAGGTGAGAGAGGGGTCATTCAGCTGACCCAGAGACGAGAAGAGGGATTGTCCACAAAGGAAGAACAGAGTGCTACTACCCAAAGTCAGGAAGAGTGCAGCAGGGCAAGGTACCTTAGCTGTCTGCTTTAGTTAGTATTGCAGAAGAAAATGCCTCCCTGAGGTTGGCCCAGGACCTGCAGCCATCCATTAGTAATCCAGCCAGAGGTGTCCATGGGAACTGTATGCAGAGCACTCTGCCAAGACAAAGGCATACTCTTTTGTTTTGTTTTGTTTTGTTTCGTTTTGTTTTTTGTTTTTTCTTTTTGGTTTTTCAAGACAGGGTTTCTTTGTGTAGCTTTCGAGCCTGTCCTGGAACTCACTTTGTAGACCAGGCTGGCCTCGAACTCACAGAGATCCGCCTGGCTCTGCCTCTCAAGTGCTGGGATTAAAGGTGTGCACCACCACCGCCACCACCACCACCACCACCACCACCCAGCTCAAAGGCATACTCTTATTTCTGACTTCTGCGCTTGATGGGAACAAACAAGTCATGTAAGTTAAACACCGTGTAAGAATCTAACCCAAATAGACAACACTTTTTAATTTTGTTTTGCTTTGCTTTGCTTTGCTTTTGTTTTGAGACAGGGTCTCACTTTGCAGCCCTGACTGGCCTGGAACTCACCATATAGACCAGGCTGACCTGGAACTCACAGAGATCCACCTGCCTTTTCCTCTCTAGTGCTGGGATTAAAGGTGTGCACCACCATGCCTGGCTTTGTTTCCATTCTGAGATAGCCCACTATATAGTCCAGACTAACCTTGAACTCAGATCCTCCTGTCTCAGCCTTGTGGATGCTCGGATCATAGGTGTGCACCACCACACCTGACTCTGAACAAGTTGTGATGCCCAACTAAGTCTCTAGGTGGTAGGTGTGCCCAGCCCGGAGAACCCAGATGGCACCCTCTGTGGAAGTGGTGCCTTGGCCTGTGGCACTCAGTGTCTTTGCCCTCTTAATTCTCTCCCACAGGGGCAATGTCATCATAGAGACAAAGTTCTTTGACGACGACCTTCTTGTCAGCACGTCCAGGGTGAGGCTTTTCTATGTCTGAGAGAAGAACTTGTGTGCACTTCAAGAATTTGGAATGGGGGCAGGAGGAAGCATCACTTTTTTCCTCCACACATTTGATTTTTGATACTCCAGCTGATTCCTTCAACACAGAACCCACCTGTGGCACCAGGAAACCAGCTCTGTATAGGTAGCCAGTTGGCTTTTTCTCCCAAACCTCCATCTTCACTGACAAGACTAAACTCCTAACCCAGCCAAGGGCAGGGACAAGCCTTGACTCCTTCCTGGTGCGAGCATGGGGACAGACCCATACCAGGAGCCACACTGCGTCTGTCACCTGCCCCACCTCCTTGGGCCCTACAGGCTTCCTTTGGCCTCTGGTTTTGAAAAAATTTACCTTTCTGACCCATTTAGTTCTTTTCCTACCACCTCTATTTCATACATTCTCCTACCTTTAACTTGTAAAATAGACGATGATATTATTATTACATAATGTAATTAAAGCATTAAAATATTCCTACAGTCTTTAGCATGGCACTGCTTCCTTCTCTCGTCTTTTCTGGACTGTGAATCTGTCTTCATGAAGGAAGAAAGATATTAATTCTCACATTATAGGATTACAAACTCTCTTTCACTCCAGAAGTAGATGGACAGCTCTCATTCCCAAATGCCTCCACTGCTGCTTCTAAAAGTGGACGTCAGAAGATGGTGGTGGGGACACACGGGCTGGGGCAAGGCTCAGAGGGTTAAGACGACATCAGGAAACCGGCGTGGGAGGAACACAGACCTTCTGCAGTGCTCTGGAGTCTGACCCAAAAACCAAAGGAGTTCTTTGGTAGGGACTCAACTCTGGGCCACAGCGACCTCCATTCTCCTTTACAAAATATGAACAAGTTCAAGTTGTCTGGCCGCCAGAATGGTAGACCTCAGGCCAGAGGGCACTACCTGGCTCTTTGGTATAGCCTAGTTCCCCCACCCCCTGCCATCTTTCCTAGTCCCTGTCTCGTGAGGAGTGGGTGAGGAGGAGGTACCATGCATTCTGATCGTGCCAGCAGCAACTTTCAGGGACAGTTCTCTTGTTATCTTGGTTTTCATTTCTTTTTTTAGGCAAGGTTTCAGTGTAGTGCAGGCTGGCCTCAAGCTGCCTGTAGCTTCAAGGATGACCCTGAACTTCTGATCCTTCTCTGTACTGGAATTACAGATGTGTGATACCACATACAGTTTATGGGGTGCTGGGGTTCCAGTCTAGGCTTCTGTGCATGCTAGACAAGCACTGTACCAACTGAGCTACATCCCTGCCTTAGAGAACTATTTTTCTTTTTTTTTTTTTTCTTTTCGAGACAGGGTTTCTCTGTGTAGCTTTGCACCTTTCCTGGAACTCACTTGGTAGCCCAGGCTGGCCTCGAACTCACAGAGATCCACCTGCCTCTGCCTCCCGAGTGCTGGGATTAAAGGCATGCACCACCACCGCCCGGGAACTATTTTTCTAATATCCAAAACTAAATTAAAAAAAACAGGGTGAGGGGCTAGGAATGTAGCTGGGTATGGTGGACACACCTTTTTTTTTGTTTTGGTTTTCGAGACAGGGTTTCTCTGTGTAGTTTTGGTGCCTGTCCTGGAGCTAGCTCTGTAGACCAGGCTGGCCTCGAACTCACAGAGATCCACCTGCCTCTGCCTCCCAAGTGCTGGGATTAAAGGCGTGCGCCACCACCGCCTGGTGGCAGACACACCTTAATACCAGCACTCCAGAGGGGGAGACAGGAAGATCAGGAGTTCAAGGTCAGCTCCAGTTACAGGTTTAAGACTGCCTGGGTACAAGAGACCTGCCGCCACCACCACCACCCCACCCCCCACCCCCCCACCCCCCGCCGCAACACACACATACACACACACACACACACACACACACACACACACACACACAGGAAAAAGATGAAACTGGATAAAGGTTTCCTCTTGTCATCTTGAAACCCCATTCTCCTCTGCTTTCCTGAACCCTACGCGCTCCCCAGAATTCCCTCAGGGAATGTTACCAGTGCTGGACAGATGGCAGTGGAGAGAGTAATACCTAGAAGATACTTCCCCAGGGCAGGCATGATGATTCACCTAGCACATGGGAGGCGAGGGCAGAGATCGGTTCAAGGTCATCAACTGACAATTCAAGGTCATCCTCAGCTACATAGCAGTTTTGAGGCTATGACCTACGTGAGACCTTCTCTCATCCAGACAAAACATTCAGACTGAACCCTTTGCTGGCTTCTCTGAGAAAAACAGAAAGAATTACATCCCAGTTGTTCTTGGAAGCCGCCTGTCTCTCTAGGGTAGAATATATATGTCCTGAAACAGCATTGTCGACACAGCCATGCGATGAGGTTTGAGCCAACAGGACAGCAGGACGCCGAGGGGTTGGAGGAGAGGAGGGGCTAACACAGACCCCAGCTGAGCTCATGGGAACTGCAGGACTGTACCCTAGGTAGTCATCAGCATCAGCTTTTTAAAAAAGAATTAATTATGTCTGTGTGTGAGTATGTGCATAGGAGTGCAGGTGCCCCTGGGGCTAGAGTTACAGGCCTGATATGGATGCTGGGAATGGAACCCCGATCCTCTGCAAGAGCACTCTTAACCCAGGAAGCCACCTCCGCAGCCCCCAGGTCAGCTTTTATAGGGTGAGTGAAGACTGAAGTTGAAATTGATACCCAGTTGCTTGAAGGCTTGAGTTTTTTCTGGATACTCTGAAACTTTATTGGAAGAAACATGTAGACAAAGCCTGGCACAGGATGTGGCCACTGGTTTTCCAAAATTGGTAGGTACTTGCTCAGATCCCCAGAGAGTCTGATTCCAGAAGTATGTGACGTGACACCCTTGCACACAGAAGCACCCCTCAGGTTGGGGCTGTGTTCAGCAGTAGAGCCCAAGGGTTCAGTGCCCAGCAGTGCTGGTGACTGGTGTGGACAGTTGTAGACTGCTGTGGGACATGCTAGTGCAGCCATTGAACGCTATAGACACAGACGCGTACATGAGGATGGCCCGAGGCTGGCCCAGTCTCTGCAGTGCGCTACTGGGCAGAGGCGACCCACTTCTGTCCTGTGCAAACTGAAGGGAAGCATTAGCTCCGGTCACTGCAGAGAGGAGGGAATCCCAGACCACACTGCCTTGGGCAGATTTTAGTGAGAACAGATCTCTGGAGGAAATTTGGCACAGCTTTGCTATATGCCATGCAGTAAACCTCTCACTTTCCCCCCAGTGTGTTACTTGCCAATATTTTAAGCCCTTTGAAAAAAGTCTTGGGGGTATTGCTTTTGTGTTTTATTTGTGGGCCTGTGTCTTAGAGTCTCATTATGTAGGCTGGCCTCAAACTCATCACCCTCCTAACTCTGCCTCCCTCCTATTAAGATTATAGGTGTGGCCACCACACCAGTTGAAATTGTTCTTTTTAAGTTTTGGGGGATTTGGGGAGGGGGGTTGTTTTTTTGTTTGGTTGGTTTTTGGTTTTTTGAGACAATGTTTCTCCATGTAGTAGTTTTGGTGCCTGTCCTGGATCTCACTCTGTAGACCAGGCTGGCCTTGAACTCACAGAGATCTGCCTGGCTCTGCCTCCCGAGTGCTGGGATTAAAGGCATGCGCCACCACCGCCTGGCTCTTTTTAAGTTTTTAATATTTATTTTGTGTGTGTGCACCAGTGTGGAGGTCAGAAGATGACTTGAGTGAGCTGGATATCTCCTTCCACTTTGTGGGTTCCAGGGATTGAACTTCCGTTGTTAGGCTTGGCAGCAAGCATCTTTGAGGGTCCCACGTGGTCTTTTGTGGTGAGGGATATACCAGGCACTGAGTTTGGCTTGCATGGTGAATGCCACCTTCAGGCCACACTCAGAGACTGTTAAATCAGTAAGAGGCTGTGCTCTATGTCCGCCTGCGTTGACTAAACCCCATCAGGAGGAGAATATGACAGATGGTTTTCATAAGATGGGAATTTGTAGGGAGAGATGTCCAGAGGATGAACAGAGTCAAGAGAGATTCTCTGTGCTCACTCAGCCCACCAAATTGCTTGGCTGTTGGTTGGTTGGTTTTGTTTTTTTAAGATGCTAGGGATGGGTCTTATACATGCTAAGCATGTGTTCGATTGTTGAATGACAGCCTCAGCCCTAAGGATATTTTTGAAAATAAGAGGGCTAGAGACTTAGCTTAGCAGTTAACATAGAATAAGACTTGCAGAGGAGCCAAGTTCTCTTCCCTGCACCAGCACTGGCTGCCTCACAACTGCCTAGAACTCCAGCTCAAGGTATCTAATTAATGTGTATGACCTCCACAGGTACCTGCACTCACATACACAAAATTTTAAAAAATGAGGGGACTGCAGAGATGGCTTGGCAGTTAGGAGCACTTACTGCCCTTACAAAGGACCCAGTTCAGTTCCCAGCATCCACCTGGCAGTTCGGAACTGTCTGTAACTCCAGTTCCAGGGGATGCCACACCTTCTGACCTCCACAAGCACCAGGCACGGACACGGTGCGCATACACACACGCAGGCAGATATGCATACGTGTTTGAACAAATCAGTCTAAAAGGAAAGATGCTAAGATTCAGTTCCCATCATCCATATGGCAGCTCACAACCATCTGCAATTCCAGTCCAGGGAATCAGACCCCCACTCTGGCTTTCACTAGTACTAGGCCTGCACATAGAGCTCGTACATACATGCAGGCAAGATATTCATCCAAAGAATTTTTTTTTTTTTTTTTTTTTTTTTTTTTTTGGTTTTTCAAGACAGGGTTTCTCTGTGTAGCTTTGCGCCTTTCCTGGAACTCGCTTGGTAGCCCAGGCTGGCCTCGAACTCACAGAGATCCGCCTGCCTCTGCCTCCCGAGTGCTGGGATTAAAGGCGTGCGCCACCACCGCCCGGCCCAAAGAATTTTTTTTTAAAGAAAAGGAGGGAGTGGGGAGGAAGGGAGGGAGGGAGGGAGGGAAGAGGAAGAGCGGAAAGCCTTTGCTTAACCTTCTGCTCCTGTCACTCTGAATTTCAGGCTTTCTGAAAGTGTCTTAACCCTCCAGGCCCTCCTTACTCCAAAGCCTTTGTCTCCCCTCTGTCTCCCCCTAGTGGCCCCTCCCAGACCTCTCGATTCTCCACTGCACCTGACCCATTGCCTTCCGTGGAGAATCTCAGGTTTCAAGAACCTGTCTATGTGCACTGCTCCTGGATCTTGGATACTCCTCCTTTTTTCTTCTATAACTTAATTCTTCGGCAATTTCATACACACACACACACACACACACACACACACACAATGTAGTCTTCATTTTCTTCCTGCTCCCTTGACCCAAGTGTTCAGTTTTTGTCTTTTTAAACTATTGTGTATCAAGAACATACTGTGTGCCAGTTCGTTGAGCCCTGAACGTTGACTCACATTTCCTGAGCACGTTTTCAGGCAGCAGGCACGGAATGGTGGAAATACCTTGCTGGAAGAAGTGAGCCCCTCACCTCCCGTAGATTCCAGCGGGGAGCGGCAGGAAGCAAAGATGGAGCTTCAAGTTCTGAGT